GTGCCCATCCCAGCTCTACAACGAGCCAACATCACACTCCTTCGCCAAACTCCCAGTCTCTCTCCTGTAGAAACAAAGGGCGAGAAGGTGCCTCCCAATTCTTCTCACTGTTGTGACAATATCTTTGAAATCTGAGCACAAGCAAATGCTAAGCTTCTTCCCTCCACGCCACTAAGGAATCATCGCCACTGAGTTCATGTGTTCATTTTACACGATCAAGTCCTGGAAGGGAAGACAAAGTTATTGAGGGAAAAATCCACGGCCCTTGTTTACTCAATAATGTCTGCCTGATATTACTTTTCCAACCGTGTGACCGGAGGCTGTTTCTCTAGCCCAGCAATTTTCTTTGCCTCGAGGTTCAATGAAACAAAAGAATGTTCCTTAGGCTAAGTTAGAGAAGAATTTGGATTCCAGACAGAACTTGTGCACACACATGGCTCCATTTGAAAGACTTTCCTATTGTTTTTGGAAGCCCTCAGAAAATTAAGCATCTGCTCGACTTTTTTTAATAGCCTCATGAAAATGAGTCAGTTTATAGTGTGTTTTGAAGTGAGTTCTACATTCCTGTGGGCTTGTAGCTCTTGAAATCAGCTTAGACCTACCTCCAGAGCAGTTGAGTGATTTCTGATGCTGGTTTCTGAAAACCAGAAGCCCAAGTCTGCTGGCCCCAATCCAGTTCCATCCTCACCACAGTGACCTCAGGTAAACCTCGCTTCTGGAGACTTCACATGTGAGGTACCAAGGCTGCTTACACACCAGCCCAAAACTCAGTGGTCTCAATGGAGAACACTTATTTGCTGCAGAATTTGTAGGGCAGAGCAAGGTTTGATAGAAACATTCCCCTTCTACTCACTGGGCATCAGCTTGAAGGCTGGGACCCGGAAGCATCTGGAAGTTCCTTCACTGTCTTATCTCCTGGCCCAGGCTGACCCTGAACAGCTGGGAGTGGACTAGCTGGGGTTCTTGCACATCCCTCTCCCTCTTCCTTCATGGTTTCACCTCCTGCTCTCTAGCAGGACACCAGGCCTTGACACACGTCATCTGAGGGGCCTCCCAAGGCATGTGGTTCAGTAGCAGGCACCAGGTGGAAGATGTATGGCCTTATATACTCAGCCTTAGAAACAATGTGGACTTGATTCTATCACAATCCGTTAATCAAAGCAGTCCTGAAGCTCCTGCCAAGCTCAAGAGGAGGAACATAGACCCCAACCTCTCAGAGGAAGGAAGTCAAATCCACATAGTAGGAAGAAGGTGGGATGGTATAGGTGTGGTGCTGCCATCTTTGACAACACAACCTGCACACCCCCTACACCTGCCAGGTAAACGTCAAAGCCCCCAGTTATGGATGAAGGGAATCAGTCTGACAAAAAGAGAAGTGACGTATTCATGGCCATGTGGTAAATAGGCGTCAGGACCAGGACGTAAGGGATTGGGCACCTAGAGGATGGAAGTTTTGGGGATCAGAGGTAAGTCGCTCCCCAACCATGCTGGAGTCACTACTGGAAGAAGGGACAAGAGTCAATGCCAGAAATCCAGGGCTTTGGCTGTGTCCCAAGTGAGAATAAGACCCACGGGGACACAGGCTAACATCTTTTTGTCCCAGCAGAGTGTCAGGAAAGGCTCTGGCATTGGGATTTGCTCTAGGTGGAAGCCGTGGGATCTTGTGCAAGTCACCTAACCTCACTGAGCTTCAATTTCCTCATCTGTTAAACAGTAAAAGTCATACCCTCCTACCAAGGCTCTTTGCATAAAGCAGGAAATCAGTTCATGAATACTATCATTATTACACAGCTATTTACAAACTGAAATAAATCAACAGGCTCTGTGAGTTTTTGTTTGTGTTAACACTCAAGCAAGCTCAGGTGAAAGGTGTGCTGGACTCTCCTAGTTGAGTTAAAGAGGACAATGCAGCTGAGAGCAAAGGGAGAAGGTGAGCAACCTCAGAGAGCCGAGGCCTGCACCTCCTACATGGGTGAGGATATGAAAGCCAGTCAACTATGTGAACTTAGACTAATTATTTCTTCTTTCAAAGCATCAGTTTCCTTATCTTTAAAAGTAAGATAATGTACTGACCCGATGATTTTGGTCTGTAAGGGAAATAATCCATAAAAACACCTAGTGAGGGCCTCCCTGGTGGTGCAAGGGTTAAGTCTCAGCACTAGCAAGCTATCACTAGCCTCTGCAGCATGAGTTTGATAGCTGGCCATGGAGCTGACCCTACGGGGCAGCAGACCTCTCCTGTCTCACCCGCTGCTCCCCTCAGTGATGTTTTTCGGTAGATCCACCTATTCTGCTCCCCACTCTGTCTCTCCTCTCACTCCTTACACCTCTGGCCTACACCCCAGTTCTTCTATGCATAAATAAATAAAATAATTTTTTTTTAAAAACCTAGCAAACTGCCTCGTATGTAGTCAAATTTCAGTAGAAAGAATATTTTACTCAGGATTATATTAACCATTCAATACAATTGTGGAGTTGAGTTCACACCATTCATCACAATGAATTGATTTTGATTATACAGTCAAGCACTCAACATGTAGTTACTGATCACCTACTATGTGCCAGGCACAGTGCTGACTGCCCAATATACAACTGAGAAACCAATACACAGTCTTTGCCCTTGAGCTGCTCACAGGGTGGAAGGGAAGACTCACCAGGGACTGTCAAGTTACAGGAGAGAAATCAGCCTTTCACGTACTCACATCATCTCCCCCAAAGTCTGACTCTCACCCATTAACTCCACAATCTTCAAGAATGTGGGTTCCTGTGTGTGACAGCAGCTGGATAAGAAGACACTGATTGTCTGGGATTATTCAGCAAGATTGAAACCTGCTGGCACAGTTGCTGCTGCCTCCCTCCCTTGCCCCGACATTTCTTCAGTATCCCTTTCTCTGCCACCTTCAATTTTATGGCACAAACACCCTTATGTCTTCATTTCTACTCCACACCAAAAATCTGCTTTCCACAGGAGTTGTGATCCCCACCTTATGCATACATTCCTCTAATCAGCATAACAATTCTGCAGGTTAGATTTCAAGGTCTCCTCTTGACATGCAGCTCAGAGAGGTTGAGTGTCTAAAGGGTCAAGCCTGTGGGTGATAGCGCTGAACTTGCAGTCAGGGCTGCCCAATGCCAGGTTCACCTTCAGGTCAGTTTATTTCTATTCAACAAGCTCTGAACACAGGCCTACTGTGGCACGCACTGGGACTAGGGATGAACCACACCCGGTTGCTGTTCCCTGAGGGCTCACAGACCAGGGAAGCAGGCACAACTTCAGTTTCCAATTCAAGTTAAATGAAATAATGTACATAAGATGCTTGTGTGGCACATAGAAAACTCTCGATCAATAGCAGTTACTGTCACTATGAAAATACGTGCTGAGAGAAAGGATAAGCAAGGATGTCACAGAGGACAGAGAGACCAGTCTTGCCTGTGTTCTGCAACCTGAGTTACTTGCACTTCAACTCTTATGTGTTCAGTTTAGAGATTATTTTGGAGAGATCTAGGAGAAGATTGGAACAGCTTCAGGTAGAATGTCCAGGAGTATGAGAACTTGAACACTCTCAAGGAGGACCTTTAAGAGGACTGTTGAGCCTGAGGAAGAGAAGTTGAGGATCAATTAGAAATTCCATTTGCCTGCTTATATAAAATGGAGCTAATCTGATTTTTTTGAATTCTGCTTTGCATTTTAAATCTCAAAGAAACCTGAAAGTAAGGAGTAACCCCATAAATTTTAGGGGCCCAGCCAGGCTCCTTATATCTTTCTGCTCTGCCAACTTTAGGATTAGCTTTTATACTCAAGGTTGTCTCATACTCCAAAATGGCTGCTAGAGTTCCAGCCGTCATGTCTCCATTCTAGTCAGTAGTAGAAGAAACCAAAACCAAAAACTGAGGGAGAGAGATGAGGATGGAGAGAATGAACACATTTTATGGGAGATCACCATTAGGAGACAGATTTCACTTTAAGCCAAGGACATCTCCATTTTTTAGAGTACAGCTAGCCAGGAAGAGGGCTGCCTCTTGCAACAGAGAGAATTGTCCTTCATGAGAATTTCCAAAAGCAGCCTGAATGCAAGTGTGAAGGAAGCTGTGACAGGGTTCTGGGACACTGAGAACAGGGTTGGGCTTGAAGAATGCCAAGATTCTTTCTCTAATTGTGAAGTGGAAGTCTATTCCCTGTTAAAAGACAATCAGGCATTCTTAGCTAGGACAGGAGATATTTCCGGAGATAGGGGTGCACACCCCCTCAACACCAAAGTGCCTGGAAGTGCCCACATAAACTGTCCCACTGAGTCAGAGGGGCAGCCATGTGAATCATGGTTATTTCTTGTATTATATTTAAATGTTAAAGTTACCAAATTTGTGAAAAAGAATGAGAAAGTTCCAGTAAAGGGATACAAGGAAAATAGAGACCATCTTTAATCCCTGAGGGAAAAGAAATATTCCTCTGTTCAAATTAATTTATACCAGCTACTAACCCCAGAAGCCCAGAAAATTTGCTGAACTTCTCTCACCCTCAAAGTTTCCTTATCTGGGATGGAGTTAAGAAGAGTCATTGTCACATTAAAGATATTAATGCAGCTAAGAGACATATCTGTACTTAATGCATAATACATTCTTTCTTCTTTCCCACTCTATTCAAACCACTCTAAACATTCAGAGTATATTATTCTCATCTTTATTTTGTTATTGAGGTGTAATACTATTGCAAGTGTAATTTTTCATTCTATATTTTATTTAGCCCGGGTCTCAACTATTTTGCTATAACAGACTCAAACATAATTTTCATGGTTGTATAGTATTCTAATTCATGGGTATATTTTAACTAATTCGCTGTTGGTAATAAGTATAATTGACTTATATTTATGTGATTAAGACTTTTCTCATTTTGTATCACTCATTCAGGATGTTTCCAGAAGAGAAAGCATTATAACAAAGAGTAAAAGAAGTGTAGTCTTTGATATGTGCTGCCAAATTGCTTTCCAATATTTCCTTTTTCTAGAAGAGCTGGTTTCACAGTTAAGTGTTATCTGTTGTTTTTTATAAACTGGGAATTGCTTAAAGACAGAGGTGGATATATTCTTCCTACAATCCTGACCCCTGTTACAGTGCCTGACAGGTGGGTATATTTTATTTTTTTTTAAAGATTTATTTATTTATGCATACAAGAACTGGGGTGTAGGCCAGAGGTGCAGGGTGGTGAGAGGATTCACCAGAGACAGAGTGGGGAGCAGAACAGGCAGACTGACTGAAATACACTGCTGCAGGGAGCAGCAGGCTAGACAGGAGAGTTCTGCTGCACCATGTGGGTCACCTCCCTGGCTGGAGATCAAACTTGTGCTGCAGTGGTTGCCAATAGCTTCATAGTGCTGCGTCTTAATCGCTTGCTCCACAAGGGAGGCCCGAGGGTATATTTTAATACATGTTTATTTAATGAATAAAAATGAGCATGTCTTTTCACCTTCCCAGCCACATGAGATTGCCTGTTTCATTACAACCTCATTATAAGAGATGATACTGAGACAAGGGGGGAGGGGGCAATGGATCCAGAGTACGAATTCCTAAATATATGTCTGTTATAACCTTTCTAGAAACTTCTCAAGCTTGTTCAAAACTTGTAAAACTTGGCAGAATGCAAGTTTATGACTTTCTTTCAGCAGCCACCCTTCCTCACTTATTTGCAAACTGGGTAAAAAGTACCCTCTTAAAAGCAGTTTTTGACTGGATTTGCATGGAGAGCTCACAGAATCCAGTGCCCACTCAGCTGTGTGCATCATAAGTTGAGATCTATGAGATGTGATTCCAGGAGGGATGGGAAGAGAAGTCCAGTATCCCACCCTGCAAATCCCACCGGTTTGAAATCCAATAGTGGAACACCAAGTCATTCCTTTCACAGTGAGAACTTTTTTCTGAAGATTTATTTATTTATGCATGTAAGAACTGGGGTGTAGACCAGAGATACAGGGGTGAGAGGATTCACCAGAGATAGAGTGGGGAGCAGAACAGGTGGGTCTACTGAATTACACTGCTGCTGAGGAGAGCAGCTGTCGAGACAGGAGAGGTCTGCTGCACCATGTGGGTCAGCTGGGGGGGGCGTGTTTGGGGAGATAAGGGAGGGGGATGTCAAACTTGAGACTTAACCCCTACACCACCAGGGAGGCCCACAGTGAGAACTTGTAAAAGTGCAAACCCCTAGGACATTAATCATTAGGAAGCAGGTCCTTACTTAACATCGATGAAGAGTCTTAGAAAATGCGCTTTTAAACAAAATGACAGATAACCAGAACAGGTCTCCAATACCATGATTTTGTTCCACGTCATCCAGGATTGCTTTCTGCTCATCAACATTGTAATGAAACCACATTGAATGAAGCACATCACTCCAGCACCTGCTGTAATTATGTAGCACATTATGTGATTACGCATCTATACAAAATGTCTATTTGTTTAATGGGAAACCAACCATCCCTGTCATAGTGAGAAATCTTTTTAAAATATAAACTGCTGGGACTTCAATTATCATTTATTTATTTTAATTATAACTATAATTACATGCTCCTGTATATAACACATGTGTGTAGTTATGTAAATGTTACATAACATTTAGTATATCACATAATTATAAAACATAATAAGTAATAATGACTTTTGCATGGACAAACTATTCTGGACATCAGGCAATGTAGGATGGAGAGACATGAGGAGATGAGGCGAGCCCTGTACCTGCCCCAGGGACTGTCTTGAGAGGGTCTGCAAGCCCTGGAGAGGATTCTGCACTTGATTAGTGATGTCTGTCTGGGATCCCAGGGGTCAAGAGCAGCCCTGGCCTGCATGCTTCCCATTCCCATGTGACTGTTAACATCTTTGATTGTTCCGCATCCTATTTTCCTACCCTCTTCCCACAATCTAAAATTTCGCCATTCTAAGCCAAATAAAGAAAAGATCACAGCAAAACACAAAGATGCTGACTTTCAAAACACTCCGTTAATACCACTTTATCTTGGACAATAAAAATGTTACGAGCACTGTGTCATGTGCTCCTCATAATTGTCCATCACATCAGTCAGCACTCTTATAAATTCAAGTAATAGAAACCCTGGTTCAAAATGATCAAACCATACAGGGACTAATTTTCTCATATACCAAAACTCCTGGGAGTTCCCTAATTGCTTGATTCCATTTCTCAGCATCATCAAGAACCTGGCACCTGCCCGACTTTCTCTTCTCTCTCCCTCTGCTGGTCAGTCTTGTGCTTCATGGTCCTGGCAGGTTGCTTCTATCCAGACACCAGGTGAATGCACAGTGCTCCCCCCCCCCCCCAGAGACCCTGGGCCTTTTCTAGATCCTTCTGGCTCCCAAGTAGGAGAACATTCCTCAATCCTTCATCTCTAGGCTCCCAAGCCAGGGCTGTTTTTACTATCCAGGCAGACTGGCAGATGATCCTGCCTTGGTTACAGCTAATGACCGAGGTGATGTGTTGACTCACTTTCAGCAGGGAATTTAAAATAGTAATTACCAGGTTTGACTTCTCCCCAAAAGGAAGTTTAAATTTAGCTTATACCTGCAGTTCTGCCCTACGAGTTTGGAGTCTCTCTATTCAACATTACATAGAAAACACTAATCGTGTCACACAGTTTAGGGATAAACTAATTATCTGTTATTTCTGCTGCAAATGTTAGAACATACTTAATGGTAGGGTTTGAGGAACACATACTTTGTTTATGACTGTGGTTGAGATCACAGAGTGGAGGCCAGGTTTTCAGGCTGGCTGCCCCAGACAAGGAGATAAGGCTATCTTTGTGCAAGCTGGTAATTTACTCTGATGATGAAGCACTGTCCTTGGGCTTTGCTGTAAATATCTGATCAAAACCCAAAACAAAATAAAAAACAACAAATGAAATGATGAAATGCCTGTCAAGACCCATGTGCACAACCAGCCCTGGAGCAATGAAGTCAAGGACATAGCACAGAAGTCAAGAGCACAGACTCTGGTGCCGCTCAGGCTGTCTTTGAAGCCTGACTGTGCCCTTTCTAAGCTGTGTGATCTTGGCCAAATTCTGTAACTTTCCCGGGTCTCACTTTCCTCATCTGTGAAATGGGAAGAATGATAAAAGCATTTTCTAACTGACAAACTAGGAAAAGCCCTCAGAATACTGTGACAACTAGTATTAGGGTTACCTCACTCAATCGCTTATTTATTTGAATGTTCCCCAATAACCTGCAGTTGGGGTCTATTTACTGCCCCCAGAACTGATGGGGGGGATGACAGGATGTTAGTGGAAGTGCTCAATGGCTGCAAAGCCCAATGTCCATGAGGAGAGGCCAAGTGAACAAGTGACTAAGCATGTCACCCACGCCTGGACCTCTGACCCAAGCTCCTCCCTCCTGTTCGCTTCAGCCATTGTCCTGTCCAAGTGTAGGCTCTGGGCAATGTATGAAGGACTTGGCCTTGTCCCCTCTCAATGTGTGGATGAGATCAGGTCATGGACACTTGGTCTAGCACCTGACCCAGGAAGGAGTTCACTGTGGGTTGAATGACGGTCCCACAAAGATATGCGCATCCAGCATGTATGACACTGGATTATTTGGCAGAAAAACTCTTTGTCGATGTAACTAAGGATCTCAGGATGTAATTAAGGATCTCAAGATGAGATCATCCTGGAGTAGATTGGGCCCTCAATCCAATGACAGATCCTCAAGCGAAGAGAAGGGGAGAAGATACAGAGGAGAAGGTCAGGGAGTGAGGTTATGCAGCCCAGATCAGGAGCCACCGGCAGCTAGAGGCTCCCAGCGTATTCACCATCACTGTGACCCAGTGCTTTCCTCTGCCCACAGGGCTGGGAAGTCTGAGAGGGACTAGCTTCTGTGAGGTGCCTGGGCTAGGGACACCCAGGAGAAAGTCCACCTCCCACCTGGTCTCGGGTTGCTCCTGATGGATGGGACTCCCTCCTCTGGTGGTCTTTGCACCAGAGACTCCCAGACCAGCATCATATCCTGAGCCAAGAGATTCCAAGCTGCAGCATGAAGGGAATAATTGTCAGTGAGATCCCAGAGTGTTTTGTCACATACACTTTGCAATATGACAAGTAGGCGTCCAAAATATGCTGCACGAGTGGGGAGCAAGAATTTTCCCAAAAGCCTACTTGGCAGCCCCAGTCACTTTGCTGAATCAAGTGCCAGTCTAGTTCTTGGCTTCACTTCCCCTGCCCTGTGAGGTGGGGCTGTGTCACTCAGGAGGGGGTGTGCCAAGAGGTCACCATCAGCAAAGAGACGCCTGCTTTCTGTGGGACTGGAAGCATCTGGCTGGCCCTATTGGCTACTTTGGGATTATTCTAGATGATGTCATAATAACAGCTCTTTTCCTATAATCATAAAGATAACATTCAATCACTGCTAGCTACACTCCCTGGGCGTGCCCTGTGCTGCGGCATATGCATGCGCGCCCTTTTTTCATCTTCATGATGATTGTACGAGGTGGAAATTATTATTATTATCGCTGTTACAGAGATACACACTGAAGAAGAGGAAAGTTAAACTATTTTTTCAAGATTCCGTATCCAGAAGGGGTAGAGAACAGTTTCCAATATTAGCATGTGATTTAGGGATGCCGGGGACCTCAAACTGTTAAGGGGTGTGGGTTCTATAAAGAGATCTGGCCATCCATGCACACAAAGGCAAAGACAGCTGACTCTTAACGGGAAAGATCTTTAATAGAATTAGTGTGGCGAGAATGACAGAGAGGAAGGATATTCCTCATTAAATTCAAAAAATTACCCATCCCCTCATGGGCAAAAACCCAGACAAACAGGCTCAGCCCAGTGTGGGTATGCTGCAGCCCGAAAGCTTGTCACAAGTCTAAGTTACCTTCTGGGGAACCGCAAGAAAGGGTTTAGGCAGGATCCGGACATCTGGGACAGAAGGAGAAGCGCAAAATTTAAAAGTCACCACATAATCCACCATGAGGTCAAGATAACAGTTGGCATTGTCCCTGCCAAGGACCAGGAGCAGCCTCTCTGCATATCTCTCACCTACGTCTCTTCCAAGTATCTCTCCTAATGTCTCTACCTGTCTCTCCTCCAATGTCTCTCTCTCTCTCTCCATGAGTCTCCTTCCAGCAGTACCCAGGTGCAAGTCAAAGCAAGAGAGTGAAAGCCCACAATGTTCAGTTATAAGCCAAGCTTGGCTAGTTAACTGCACCCCCAGTTCCCAGTGGCCCCCCTCACCCCCATTCAGGAAGTCAGGTTCAATGAATGCTGGAGTTGTACTCCTCAGCTCCCGAGATCCCTTCAGCATAGAGATGGAATCTGGGGGTGGAATCTGTAAAAAGTCAGGAGTGCAGGAGTTCATTGCGGATGCCATCCATGAGCTCAGAGTTTATTCCTTATTGTTCTTCTAACACCAACTCTCACCAGCCTCTCTACCAGGCTGAAGGTATGAGCACTGTACAACCATCATATTGTGCAGCTGTTGGAGTAAGGATCACAGTGGCCCCACCTCCACACAAAGTGGTGCTCGAATGTGGGGCACACTCCCTTTGATTGGCTATTTCACTTAGAAGGTGAATGGGTAAGACTATTAAGAAAGCACAAAACATATGGATCTTAGATTTATTAAAATAGGGCAGACTGAGTTTTCTCCTACCTTTTTCCTGGAGTCTGGCATGGACAGATGCTTCAGTAAGACAAAGTCCTTAGTCATGTAACTCCTTCAGGACAAGGAAGGAGACTGACATCCTTTGAGTACAATATGGTACAAAAGAAATGTTAGCAATAGGTTAATATTTGCAGCTAGAAAGTTTAATTGAGGCCAGATTATCCCGAGGGCCTCTTCCTTACGATAGTTTGTCCACCTGACATTCTACTCTTTAGTTCTTCCTTCCTAACTCAAGTCAGATTTTATTCTATTCCTCCCACATCAGACGAAGTACAGCTGAACTTACTCCCAGAGAGAAGCTCCACTGACCTAAGGATAACCTAGTTGTCTGTGGCTGTGACAGGTTCAGGAATGGGTTTAGTCATCCCCAATTCCAGTCAAGGAAGCACAAAGATCTTTCCAGGGTAAGTGGTGCCTTGATGTCTTCTGGGGGAAATGACTTTGCTGCTGGGAAAAACCACAGAAAGAAATGGACACCTTCTCTCTTTTTAAAATTGTTTTGTTTTTTATTGAGGTAATGATGGTTTATAACATCATCTATGACTCATAGGTACAGGTTTACACCTCTTCACATGTATATACCACCCACATCGACCGCCAAGGCACCCATAGACCTCCACCGCAGTCCCATGGCCCTCTCTCGCATTCCTGCCCACCCTCTCTCACCTCTGGCTCACTCAGTCCTCCAGTCACATTGCTCGGATGGAGCCCTTCTTTCTTGAGATTCTGTCCTGTCTGTGATGCTCAGAATTGCTGCCATCCACTCAATTGACGACAGTGCAAAAGCCTCGGGGAAGTTCTGATCTGGGCAGTTTCAACGTCTCATTTCAACACCTGGGTCAGCTTCCAAACACCAGAAGTTTCCAAGAGCTGAGCAGTTAGTCTCTCAAAGGCCCCCATTGCTACATTAACGTGCTTTTTAATGCAAAAAAATTGTTATTCTGTGTCAGGATTCACTTTAAATAATATTAGAACCTAGGTCAATTATATTTACTGGTATGGGGAAATACTTGTAATATGTTGCTATGTGAAAAAGCAGGATAAAATTCAAAAACATTAAAAAGCAATTTGAAAAAAAAAAAAGAATTGCTGCCATCAACGTCAGCAGTCTGAGGAGGACACCAACTGAGGACGGCGCCCGGAGGCCATTGTTGACTAGCTGATCAACAGGCTTTGGACGCCCCCTTCTGCCCCCAGCCCCTGGAATTCCGGATATGTGAGATAACACATTCCCTATTGTTTAATCAAGTTTGAGTCAGGATATTGTTTCTGCATCCCGACTAATACAGGATTCAAAGCAAACTTTCCTCCCACCTCTACCCCATCCAGCAACTGAACAGAACCCCTGAGGATGACCAACAACCCACTCCAGACACTGCGCGAGAGAGGGATTTGGTAAAGGGTGGAGGGTGGGGGTTTAAAGGCCTGAGGGATTGTGGACAATGGAGAAAAAGAACAAGGGTGCAAAGGCGAGTGAGTGGGGGCAGGTGGTTGCGTAAATGGGTGGGTGGCTGGCTGGATGATTGAGTGGATGGATGTGTGGATAGATGGAGAAACGCGTGGACAGAGGGGGACGGGCAGCGTAATTTGAGTCTCTGGTCTAAAGTAGACGTGTTACATGCCCCAGTACATTTTTTTTCTCTTAGGCTAGCTTGAGTACACTAGTCAGGCTTTGTTATTGTTATTATTGTCATGCAAATGCTTATCAAATGATCCTCGAATTTCAGTGACTTTCCACAATATGTGTTTCTATCACACTCACAGGTCAGCTGGGCCACTGGACCACAGGCTTCCGGTGATGCTCAGGTCTTCTTCATCCATCCTCATGGCAGGACCCAGACTGATGGAATAAGGACCACAGGGTACATGTTCTTCTCATGCTGGTAAGAGAAAATTCTAGAGTGCACATAGAAATTTGCCCCCAAACATCAGCTTGAAAATGGCAACTGAAACTTGTTTCCAGCTTCATTCCCTTGACCAAGATGGAACTTCCAGTCTTAGGACTTTAGACAAATTGCTTAGACTCAGTTTCCCCACCCTACCTATGGAGGAGTATGTCACAGACAGCAAGGGTTGTTGAGAAGTTCCAATGAAATAATCATAATCAACTAAATCATCTTATAAGGGACCAGCCACTGTTCATCTACTTTACATATGTTAACATGTGAGTGTGTGCGTGGTTGTCCAAAGGAGGAAACTAAAGCATAAAGAAGGTAAGTGACTTTCCCAGGTCACTCAGTTACCAGGTGGCAGAGCTGGGTTTGCAAGCCCAGGCCATCTGGCTTCATGTCTACATTCTTTTGTTGTTTTTGTGCAGTGCCCCAAAAAAGCATTTTATTGAGATTTAATACACATGTACCATTATGTTCATTTCAGGTATGCAAATGATGATTTAATATTTGTATATATTGCAAAGTGATCACCCCGACAAGTCTAGTTAATATCTCTCACCAAACATCACAAAATTTTTTCTTGTGATGAGAACTCACTTAGCCACTTTCTTTCTTTCTTTCTTTTTTTTAGACTTATTTATTTATTTATACAAGAACCGGGGTACAGGCCAGATGTACGGGAGGGTGAGAGGATTCACCAGAGACAGAGCGGGGAACAGAACAGGCAGACGGACGGAAATACACTGCTGAGGGGAGCAGCGGGCGAGGCAGGAGAGGTCTGCTCGCCATGTGGGACCCTCCCCAGCTAGCCGGGACCGAACTGTGCTGCAGAGGCTGCGGACAGCTTCACAGAGCGGCGCTTAACCGCCTGCGCCACCAGGGGAGGCCCTCACTTAGTCATTTTCAATAGGCAGCATAGTAGTATTAACTGTGTCACCACACAACATGTGACATACCCAGGACTGATTTCTCTGCGAACCAAAAACTTGTACCTTTTCACCTCCTTTACCTTCTTTATGGGCCTCCCACCCCCACCTGCGGCAACACCATCTGCTCTCTGTCCATGAGCCTGGTGTGGTTTTTGTTTTCGAGTCCACATAGAAGTGAGATTATATGTCTTTGTCTTTTCTCTGACTCATCTCACTTAGCATAACATCCTCAAGGTGCACCCATGTTGTGTCAGATGTAAGATTCGGGTGGTTTGTGACTGAATAATACTCCGTTGCATTTTTACAACACCTTTTCTTTCACCATTTATCTATCAGTGGACATGCAGTTTGCTCCCATGTCTTAGCTGTTGTAACTAACACTTCAGAGAACATGGGGGTGCAGAGATCTTTTCAAGTTTGTGTTTTCATTTTCTTCAAGTACTTGGAAGTGGAGTTGCAGGGTCACTAGGGAGTTCTAATTTTAATTTTTTGAGGTCCCTCCACACTGATTTCCATAGTAACTGTGCCAATTTACATCCCACCAGTGGTGCACAAGATTGGATTTCCTCCACACACTCTCCGACACTGTCACTTCTTGACTTTTTGATAACAGCCTCCTTGACAGGTGTGAGGTGATCTCCTCGTGACAGGGTTTGCATTTCCCTGCTGACCAGTGTTGGCGAGCATCTCCCTACGTGCTTCCTGGCCACCTGATGTCTCCACTCACATGGTACTCGCCACCGCTTGCTGTAGATCAAATGTGTCTCCTCAGAATTCGTGTGGAATTCAAATTTAGTGTTGAAACGTAGTCCCCAAACTGATAGGGTTGGCAGGTATGCTATTGGGGAGGTGATCAGGTGGTCACTCCTCAAGGGCAGGAAAGCGCTGTTATAAAAGATGCCCCCAAGAGCCCCATCCCCCCTTCTTCCATGTGAACCAGGAAGCAGGCTCTCACCAGATGCCATAACTTCAGCTCCTTGACCACAGATCTCCCAGCCTCCCGACTATGAGTCAGCATGTGTTGTTTAACTCCAGTGGCCCATAGTTTCTGTTCCAGCTGCCCAACTGGTCTTGGGCCCGCTGCACTATCACGCCTCTTGAACCAGCTCAGCACAACATATGTTGTGGGAAGCACATGCCTCCCCCCTCCCCCCCAATGAGGACAACTACAGGCTCTGGAAGAATTGCTTGGAATCTCACATGTGCGCCTTGCATGTTTGTAAGTGTCCTTGATGACATTCAAGTGCAGGGGACATGTGTGGGTGGCTCTGCCTCCTCCGAGCTCCATGACCTTTAGCAAATCATCAGCCTCCCTGGCTATCTGCTTCTGCAGAGGCTGAAAATACTTGCCCTCATATCTTAAGAATTATTGTAAACTAAAAAGAGAACAGATGCAAAAGGCCTTTGAAAATATAAGTCTTCTGCAGATGCTTGGTTTGTTTTATAATATAATGAGGCTGATCTTTTAAACATGCCAGATCCTACCCTCCAAATGAGAGCCAGTCGTGCCAGATGACTCTTTGCCTCTCCTCCCACCAAGCCACAGGCTTATTGTAATGATGCTGTTTTTCTTCAAGACATGTTTGGAATGTTTCTTTGGAAATTACCTTGACAGCTGGCTTACAAGCCAAATGAGAAAATCAGCTTTATTACCTCACAGACGGGCCTCCATTTTATTTGGGGACGCCAAAAATAGTGGTTCTGAGCTATTACCCCATCTTATTCACGAGATGCCTTTCTGGATGATTTATGTGTTTAAAAATCAAATCTCCTCTCAGAGGGAGAGAGGTGGCTCGTGGAGGCTCATGGAGGACCCGCCATGGGAATGTGAAAGCTGTATCTGTCCTTCACGGTCACATTTTATTCTCATCAAACCCAAGTGACCAAGGCCATGCTGCCAGCTGGCCCGCGAGCCAGGCCTCCGCCTCTCAAAACATCAGGAACTCCAGCCCTAGCATCATCTTTGCACTGGAAAGAACCTTAGAAGTCTTGTTATCTAAATCATTCCATTCGTGCATGCCCCCCACTTATTCATGAGCCCTCGCCCAGCACTCTCCCAGAGTCTCTGAAGAGATAAGAGGGGGGCAGCTCTCAAGAGGGGGGCAGCTCTCAACAAGAGGGGGGCAGCTCTCACCCTCAGAACATTCACACCACCATGAGAGAACCCACCGGTAGCACATAGGTGCAGGCAGGTGTGCTACGTGCTCTTTGACCGAGGGCGACTGTCCTTGGCAAGCCTGGCCCAAGAGACCTGCCCAGGGAGCAGGACTGGGAAGGACCAGGTCACATTCACAAGGTCACGAGGAAGCCAGGTGCCTGGGGAGGAGGCACAGGTACCCAGGTGCACCACAAGGTGAATGAGTTCGATGCCCTTGGACAAGAGCAACACTGAAGGCCACAGGCTCCAATGGAGCTGACCTGAGACACACAGGCTTGGCCCACCACGTAGATGTTTGACCCAACTGACAGTTTCAAACCCACAGTGGGGACAAGGGGGTGCTTATGTGAACTTTTAACTTGTGGCAGACCCATCTTCCTCTCTCTAGGGTATGATCAGGAAGAACCTGTGCCAGCTCTGTGGGCTTCCTCAGTGTCTCCAACCCAAGTTTTTCTTACACATGAGAATTTTCAGCAGAAGAGGAGAAATCACGTCTACACTAGAGAAAGATTTTTCTGGCAACAGAGAGGAGAGTGAATGGAGTGGCTTTGAAAGGCCCCCAGCAGGGCAGTGGCAGAGGGCACGCTGGAGACGCGCAGCAAGACACCCCTTGGCACCCAGAGAATGAAGAGGCTCCATCCAGGTTTGAGCCCTGAAACGTGATGAGGTTCTTTTTCCGCCAACTCTGCCATCCTAAATCAACAAAAGGAAAAGATTACATTCTGAAGCCAAATATAATTCGGGCTGCAAGACGAGCCAATTTTTTAGAACAGCTTAGTTGATTCGAATGGTAAGAGTCTTTGGATTTCCAACAATTGCTCGTTCAATTCCGCCCACTTTGGTGGCGCTAATACGCCCAGGAACAGAGCTGGGCTGAGGACCAAGGAGAGTCCCACCGAGTGGCCCAAGGACAGAGCCTGGCTCCGCGGGCAGGACCCATCTCTGCTGTGAGACTGGGCATTGCAGTGTTGACATCCCCGCCCTCTGGGTGTTCGACGCATGTTGGACGGCACCCCATCACATTGACCATGATAGAGGCTCCCCTACATTTACAAATGTGCCCTGGGAGGTGCTGCCACCTGCCTGAGGGCCCCTAGGCTACAAGCAAAACTGGGCCCATCTGTGTGAGGGTCATCCCTAAAATCCTGCTGGAACGTTCTGCTATTAACCATCTCACACCAGCCACAAACTCCTCCCTGGCCCCGTAACACTTCTGTATCTTTTCCTAGTCTGCTCCTTCTTCAGACACTCTCCCCTCGTGCTTATTTGCCTGCAAAATGTGCACATTGGGCCTGTGGCCAGAATTCAGTCAGCACTCACCATTGCCTGTATCTGCTCCTCAAGGACGCTTCAGCTTCCCAGGGAGAGTAAGTGCAGTGCAGGTCCAAGCCCCTCGTCTGCCTCCATGAAAACTCTGACCCAACTATACCATGATCATCTGTTTCCAAACAGACTATAAATTCCTATTTATATTATAGACTGTGTTGAATGAATGACTCGTATCTTAATCTGCCCACTGATGTGCAGTGACTCTCAATCCCAGGAGAAGGTCAATAATATTTCCATGCTGTTGGGAAGAAAATTATGTCAATCCTCTCCCCCAAAACAACCATTATTGAATGCCTCACCCGTGTTCAGCAGTGTCTTTCACCGTCAATGTCTTATACCATTTAAGAGTAAGTCTAAGAGGGGCTTCTCCTGGTGGCACAGGCAGGTGAGCGCAGCACTGTGAAGCTGCCCACAGCCTCTGCAGCGCAGGCTCGATCCCAGCCAGCGAGGGTCCCACATGGCGCAGCAGACCTCTCCTGTCTCGCCCGCTGCTCCCCTCTGCAGTGTATTTTGTCAGTCTGCCTGTTCTGTTCCCCGCTCTGTCTCTGGTGAATCCTCTCACCTTCCTGTGCATCTGGCCTGTAAGTCTAAGAGGTTAGGTGGCTCTTCCAAGGTCAAGGACAAATAGTCAATGAGTTTTAGCAGAGATCTTCTGCCTCTCAATTTGTGGGACTCATGAGGAGCCTGGCAAGGAAATCAGACACAAAACAAATCTAAAATGCACACATTAGGATTTATAAAGAGGCATGTTAAGGCTAGAACTTTCTTTACAATAGGATTGAAGGATGATACCTTAGGAAGCGTAAACTCTCCTAATAATTTAAAATTTCTTCTGCTGTGTGCAAAAATCCACCTTCTCACCCAGTTCTGCAGGAAGACCCTGGTTGCATGAAATGCCACTCACTGGGATGTGTTCTTGGGAACCCTGACACCTGAACCAGCGCCAAAGTCCTCAGCCTCAAGGGTCTGCCATCTGGGTCCCCCCAATCTTGAAACTCCTCCCCTGGCGTGTGACTGGGCTCTTGGTTCTCCTTGCTGCCACTCACCTGGGTGGGAAGCTGGCCCCGCGGAGACCACAGAGTGTGCTTGGCTCCAGGAGGCACCACTACAGGCTGAGGTCGGGGGCTGCATTTTGCATTTGCCTCAGCACTTGGGTGGTCTTCAGAGCTGGTGCCAAGGAGCACATATTGCAGCAATTTAGCCTGGAGACCACAGAAGTGGGTAAAGCGGCAAAGCCCGGGGTGGGCTCGGAGGCGGGATCCCTCCCCAGCCCAACACCTCCTGCCACACACAGGATGAAAAAGCACTTGCGGCTGGTGCGCTGCGCTGCTGCCAGTGCCTCGTTCTCGTGCTGGAATCTCCTCCCTGACCCCCTGTTCACGCAGATGTAAAATTGGGAGTGAGACCATGCGCCACGTAGAGCAAGATGGCACCCTGTGGGAATGCGCCCACAGCCAAGGCAGCCTGGGGTGGGGGGAGCCCTTGGTGAGGGCTGCACACATGCACCCATCAGTCCTGCAGCCGCTTGTACAGAACAGATGCCCTTGAGCCCCGATGAAGGACAGAGTCGTCAAAGACATAGCCCAGAGGCCAGAGCCCTGGGGCCTGGCCTGGTTCACATTTTCTCTCAACTTGGAATCACAAAAAGTCAGTTGGGAGGTGCGAGGTGAGCCAGCTCCCCAGTAGATGGGGCAGGGGCTGAAGGAGCTGAGCCCCCAGCTGGAGAGTCTCCTCCAGTAACTCTTAATGAGAACGTGTTTCACGGGGCCTGCCGTCTGCCGGCCCAGGCTGAACACACCCCAGGTGTCTCAGGTCTTCTAGGTGATCTAGGAATGAATGCATCCTCAGGCCCCACCCAGGAGGCATTGTTACCCCTAATTCAGAGATAAGGACGAGGTTCTGGATACTAGCCCAGGGTGTGGCTCCAGCAAGCTGCTTGACCAGAAGCTCAGTTTCTTCATCTGTAAAATGGGAACCACAGCTCCCTCCCGCCCCGGTTCTTTTAGGTTAAAAGCAAACTGCTGAGCACATCATCCCGCGCTCCAATGAGGTCATTAGGAAGTGAGAGCTTATAATTGTCCCAGCAGCCTCTGTTTGCAGTGACCCCCTTCACGGTGCAGCCAGCCCGAGGTCTGTTTTCCCAGCACTCAGCGCAGACGGAGCGCTCCTGACACACTGGCCCAGCACAGGTAAGGGTCAAACGAGGGCGTGAGCCAGAGATTCTGTCATTTCTCAGGGTAGCATGTTTTAGGGAAATGTGCTCCCCTCCCCCGGGAGATGCTCACACCCCACTGGCAGTGACGCCCCGACAGTCTGCAGGTTCCAAGGAGAGGATCCACTTTGGAGGCACTCCAGCCCCCCCTCCCCCCCGGGGCGACAGGGCAACGGTGGCCCATGTGGTACCTGGAAGGCAGCAGAGCCCTGGCGCCTGGAACCCAGTTCTCAGGCCACCCCTGCGGCGCCCACCTCCCTCACCTGACAGCGACCTGGCGCCTTGGGCCTCCTCCCCCAGCCCCGTCCCTGGCTCCTCTTTGCCGCTCTCCCTGCCAGAGCAGTCACACTCCAGGAATCACAAGGCTAACAGGAAGAATTCTAACCTGAGCCTGAATGCCTCCAAGAATTTTTTAATGGACTTGTGCTTTCATATGGCAGTTGCACAAAAGCACAGACAGAAATAGTTCCTGCAGATGCTCTCCCTCCAGCTCCCTCCCGAGCAGATGTTTATCTTCAGAGTATCCAGAGCTGACGGTCAGCGCAGGGTCAGACAAGGTGGGGAAGTAGGTGCCCGGGGCAGCTGGTGCTTAGGGCCCTGGCAGCAACCTCCAACCTCCAGGCCCACCCACTTCCCAGGAACCAGCCCCCCAGCCAGAGGAGACCCCTCCCCTCTCCAGAAGGGGAGCAGGCATTCGCTTTCCTTCTTGTTATTTCCCCCTTTCTGTGCTAGATTTGCTACCTGCAGGCCAATGCTAGGGCCAGACAATGAGATCCTTCCCTCTGCTGACCTTGGGGGCTGGTTTCAAGGCAGTGCATTGCGTTTTAATTAAATCCAACTAACCTGTGCTGCAGGCCAGCTCCCATCAGGGGAGGCGCCGGGTGTTTGGGCAGCAGGAGGCACCCCTGGCCGGGTTCCTACTCACTCACCCTCACAGGGTCTGGCCCTCTCACCGGCGCAGCCCTCAGGTGAGACCCTGCCCAGGGGAGCCGCCCTACAGCGTAGCGCAGGGTCAGTGACCAACACGACATGACAGGGAGAAGTTACAGCAGAGACCAGCCGGCCCGCCGCCCTGACACAGCAGCCCCCTCGGACCGAACAGAGACAATTAGGACATGAACCAAGTAGCTGGACTCACCTGTCTTCTGGAAAACAACTAAGTCGTTTCCTTCACTTTCATCTATGTACACGTGAGCCGGCCTTTCATGCTGGAGTTTTGAGTCAAGATGACTTCCCTCCCGAGAGAAGGGAGATGGGTCAACCATCCATTTCCCACCCCCAGCCCCCCTATATGGGATTTTGTGAAGGGCACCATTTCCCTAGTTCCTTCTCTTGGAAGCCCACCCTCACCCTCCACCCCCGGTTTCCTTTAGCATCAGGCTCAGACCGTTCTCACTGGGAGGTAACTCGGAAGCGCATCCTCTCCAGGGCACATGCCGCCGCCACCCTGGTCACGGCTCAGGATCTCTGCACAGACTCCTGCTAGACACTACCCCCCCCCCCACCGCACCCCACCCCTGCCCGACTCCTCACTTTCTCCACTTGCAAAGCCTGTGCACGAGGCATGCAGAACCATCTTTCTCCAACATGGTCTGACCATGGTCCAACCCAGCTTCAGCCTGTTTGACAGACGGGGCGGACCCTCTAATATGAAATCCTCACTCTTCATTCCGCAAGGCATGCACAGCCGTGGGTTCAGCCACACTCTGCTCTTCTCTGCAATTACGCCTCTGCCCACCCACATTCCTGCTGGGCCTCGACCACAAGGAACCACTGGAATTCACCCAAACACGGCTTCTGACTCATTCTGTGTCGTCTGCTGTCGGGAGTGAGCTGGGCATGACGTCCTGCCGCGGGGTCTGTCTTCTGCTTACCTTGGTCAAGTGCACCCTGACCAGCTGCCCTCCCATCAGCCTGTCTGCTCAAGAGAACACCTACTTGTTGCTGGGGTGCAAGGGGAAGAGCTTATGTGTGTCTGTGGATGTTGGGGGGCGCTGAGAAAGGGCTTGGACTGGGGGCTGAGCTGCTGGAAGAGGCTGAGCAGAGTCCAGGAAGAGTCTGCTGCCGTCTGGCAATGGGATGACCATTGCCTGTTGGGGGGGCCTCGGGGGACAGGACCACCCGCCCAGCCCTACAGACCCCCACTGCCTTGCCTGGATAAAACTTGTGACTTCTCAAGTTTGTGTTCTCTTGCCTTTCTCGATGGACAGCTGCGGGCTACACTCAACATCCCTCTCTCTTCCCCCACAGTGGCGGTGCTTCAGCTGAGCCCTTTGCTGCCCCAATGTATCACCTTTTTCCGGCTCCCTTGAAACGAAGTGACACCATCTGACTAGTGCCTGGCGCGTGAGACCAGCTCGCAGGGTAAGTGTCCTTTCGAAGAACAGGTGTGGGGGCCTCGAGTCCTTTCCTCCACTCCTGCTGGCTGGAAATGGTAGCAGCTAGAGGGTCATATTGGAACTGGAGATGGAAGTTGTTCTGAGGATGACAAAGCTGCTCTGTCACCTGGACTTGCTACGCCTGCAGAGTTACCTGGGAGAGAAGTAAGTGTATCGCGTGTATGTCACCAGGTCTGGAACTTCCAGTCTGCCAGTGTCCTCGCCACCAAGCCCTAGTGTCCTTATATCTAAGCTCCTGCAACAGAACCTCATTTTTTTCAATAGCCACATCTTTTTCTTTCATTTAGTCCTATGACTTTTCAGAGCAAAATCTGGGTTTGCCTTTGGTTCTAGATCCATAGTTGGTCGATAACATCTAGTTCGTGGTGGCAGGAATCATGGTGTGGGGGAGAAGCCGTCACAGAGGGTTAAGTAGCTCCCTGGCCCGAAAATGGGGAAAGCTCAGGAAATTTTGTTCCTCTTCCCCCACCCACCAGGTACATTTCTCCAAAAAGGGCACCTTCTCTGCTATTTTTAAATTCACATATTTTGGTTACTGTGAGAGTCATTATAAACGTTCACAGCTATTCTGCTACTTTCCAAGCACATGCAAACTTGCACATTTCCTCTCTATTTCAGACTCAGACACGTGACTTGCTTTGGCCACCTGATGTGAGCAGAGTGGTGTCATTCTGGGTGGGAGGGTTCATGGCCAGTGCTGGGCAAAGCTGAGCTCCGTCCCCGGGAGTGGTAATCAAGGTAGTTGACACTGCAGAGGAAACTCATCCTCCCGAATCCCAGGCAAACAAGAAGGAGCAGCCCCAAGCCCACCATGGACACGCAGCACAAACAAGCAATAAGCCTTGGCAATTACAAGCCACTAAGACCTGGAGGATCTTTCTGCAGCATAACCTAGCCTCGTCCTACTGATTAGAGGATGGTCATTAAGATCAGGATGAAAACCAAAGCATTAGAGGAACTAGTATGAAATTCACAAATTGAGACATGAGTGGTGAGACACAGAGAGGATAATTCAAGTTGGCACCTTTTTAAGTACTCCCTCCCCTCCCGTAGGCCCCATTCTCCCCTCCTTGGCTCTGCCCCTACATGTAACGATCTAGGTAAGCAGCATTTCAAGATGTTCAAGGTGGTGGAGGGAGGTTGTCTGGCCTGGCAGGGAAGGGAAGAGACAGAGGTGTGCACATGTTTTATCACTGACATTGTTTGGAATGATGGCTACAAGATAACAGAAAGCAGAGCAAATGAAAGTCTTAATTCAGTCAATTAAATTCTTTTGCATCATTTACTAATAATACACCTTTATTGTCTCTCCTAGTCTGTCACCTTCCACCAATAAGTACATCATTGACCTGGTTTCCCCTCTGGGTACAAGTGGATAGATTTGGGGTATGCTGGAAAGCTAAGCTTTGGGGTGGAGAACAACCTATCACTTAACCCTGAAATATTACCCACTATGTTAGCATATGACCAAGGGGCACCCAGGGACCCCAAAATTGTTAAGGGGTACACACTCTAAAATGGGTCCAGCCATCTGCCACATGAAAGCAAAGGAAGCAGACTCTTCATGTGGAGACCTTTAATAGAATTGGTGTCCATAGAGAGAAAAGTGAAGAAAAGATATTCCTGACAATAGCTTCCCAATAAGACTCCCAAAATGACCCATCCCCTTGTGGCCAAATGGGGTTGGCCTAAAGTAGGGCCACTGAGGCCCAAAAACTCACTACAAGTCTAAGGTAGCTTCTAGTGGGAAATCACAAGAAAGGGTTAATTAAGAAGGTCCCAAAAAGCCAGGACAGAAGGAGATACCACATCAGGATAACAGCTGCTGTTGTCTCTGCCAAAGATAGCTTCCCCAACATGGCTCCCACCCTCATATCTCTCCAGGTCTCCTTCCCAGTGGTACCAGGATGCCGGTCAACACAGGTCTGCCCGCCTTCCATGTTATTTATGGGCCACTTGGCTCTGCCCCTAGATTCCAGTAGCTCCCCCACTCAGAAAGTCCAGTTCATAGTGTATTAGGGCTTGTAATCCAAAATGGCTGCTCCTTGGAGCAAGGACAGTCGTACCTACCCTTCACAAGGGTGTATCTATAACAACTATATAAATGCTGCTGCTTCTGCTAGTCTTGGCTTCTATTGAATTTTTTTACCAGTGAAATCCTTCATGGTTCATGACCAAATTCATGTGCCACCTCCTGTGTAAATCTTTCCATAATACTCCCAGGCAGGTCTCATGACTACCTCAGCTATGATCCCAGGACATGGTTTTCTTACCACTGTGACAAAGTGACAGTTGTTCATTTGCATGTCTTCCTTTGCCACTAGCCATGAGTTCTGAAGGGACAGTTATGTGTTTCCTCTGTGCTAAGTGCAGTGCCAGGCACAAAGTAGGTGTTCAAGGTATACTTGTGTTGACTTTGCATGTATTTCTCTAGTTCCTACCATGAGTCAATGACACATAGGTCACTAGATGGGAGAGACATTCCATCACCTACTATTATAGGGTTTGGGTTATGGAGGGCTTTGGAGGGAGGGGGCTCTGGCTACTTGCTGCTCATAAGCCAAAACTCAAGAGACAAAAGTTGGTAGAAGGAAATCAATTTTAATCAGGAGCCAGCAAACCTGAGGGCATGTAAGACTGTTCTCTCAGAAGACATGTCCCCAAACTGGGGGAGGCAGGGACTTCTATGGAGGAGTGTTAAGGTAGTGGAAAGGCTTCAGGATCTTAAATTAGTTAAGGAAAGATTCTGCTCATCTCAGAGCATCTCACAGAAATAAGCAAAGTCTTCCTACACTGCATTCATGCCTGTTTTTCTTCCAAGTTTGGTCCTGACCAGAGCTGTAATGCTGTTGGTGGGTGTGCTTTTTACTAAGATAATGAGGCTGTGGCCTAACGAGGCTCTTATTTCTACTTCCATCTTAGTTTCAGTCAATTTTGCCTGGTTTTCTAGTTTTATCTGCAAGAAAAGACAAACAGGACCAGAAGAAGGACAAACAGGGACAGGGAACTATGGTTACCAGGCCAGTGACAATTCCCTCCTCTGCCTGGATCTTGGATCCTCTCCTCATTCTTGAGGGGAAGTGCGCGAAGGTCTGTCTCTGGAACTACCTCCTACTGAGTAAGAACAGAGGTTTGGGAGTCCACAGAGGAGCAGAAGCTTTTTCTAGCTAGCTTGAGATATAATTGGTGGTCAAGTTGTGTAATTCAAATTGTTTATATCCTTGAATTATAATTATTTAGAAGTTTTAATGTCTCCAACCTTTTAAGTAATTCTCCAGCCTTCAGATGACAAGGGCCAAAGACCCAAAGGAGGAAGCAGAGAATAGTAACGGTAACCCTGGGCTGAAAAAGGCTTCTCCCCATCCAAACCGTTTAGAAGAGACTTGTATCTAGCAGGAGTCCAGGGCTAGGACTCAGTTTTTTCCAGGTGACCCACCTCAGGAACCCCTTCTTTCTCTGTCTTTTCAGATTCCAGCCAGTCTTGTAGTTCAGCTCAAACTTGTTGCTATTACTCATCTGTAAATACAAACCTTGGAGGAAAAGTTAGAGGGTTTTTTTTCCCCCTCTGTGCTTTTTAGGGTCTGAAAGCAATTTAGCCCTTTAACCTTGGTGATACTACAACGCCCAGTTCAGGACAATTTTTCTCTTCTTTCCTGCTTGGTAGGGATGTGATGTCATCTTGTCCTTGGAAAGTCACATCATGCATCAGAATGCCGTCTGCTTTGTGGCCTAAATTACCTATTTTCAGCAAGGTTGTTAAGGGATCACTGAAGAATGCCTACTAGCCAAAACTCTAGTTTGAGTGACAAGGAAAAGGCCATTTCATTTTTGTCATAATTGTTTCTTTCCAGTCAATGCTCCCCAAATCCTGGGCCTCCCTGCTGTATCAGCATGTGGCTCCATCCCCATCCTGTGACTGTCTCACAGAAATGACCCAGACATCTCACAGGACTGGAAAGTTTTTATTTTAACCGCCAATCTATTGCAATATTTGATGGGGGCTGGAGGGTGTAATATTATGTGATTTCAGTGTTATAATAATGGCTAATATCAGTTACCTTGTATGGAGGGCTGAGAAGTGCCAGACAAGTCTTTGAGTCTTTCTTACACATTTGACAGATTGCTTTTCATAATAGCTCCAGGGCCTGCCTGATTATATCACTCCCATTACACAGATAAGGAAAGTATGATGCATGAAGAGTAAGCAATTTGCCCAAGATCAGACAGCTAGCAAATATTAGATAAGATTTGTGTGTCTTCAAAGCCTAGGCGCACAGCCCTTAAGCCCCAAAGGTATGGCTGCGCCAGCTCAGACTGGCCCAACTCTGCAAGCAGTGACGTCTGTGGGTAGCTTGAAATGGGCTCTGGTGGGAATATTTATGTCACAGAAATAAGCAAATGCTACAAATCAAGGCTTCCTTTCTTCTGTAGGTAGATTTGCCAACCAAAGACCAGCACAACATCAGATGCGTAGTCTCCTGGTTGGAAAGGGGAAAAGGAGGGGCAAAGAAAGAGGAAGGAAGAGGCATTTCTGTTTTTCCTGAGGTTTTAAATTTCTGTTTTTCCTGACCCACTTACCAAAGAGACAATCCTGGATTATCGTCTACCTGAAAGGAGTTGAGGGTCTCGCTAAATTTCAACCTTTTGAAAATTTTATGACCCCAAAACCTGAGAGATTCATAAGACAGCAACATTGATATGATGTGCTAAATAGGAGACCCACAATTAAAACAACATGCAGAGACAAGAAACTTTCTACAGAGGAAGTGGAACTGGAGCTGGGCCTTGGAGCGGTTTTCCAGGTGGTGAAGTAGGAGTGGGAGTAAAAGAACATTATAGGCAGGAGGAATTTTAAGAGCAAATTTGCAAAGCTGCTATAGCCATCTCAAAACCCAGTCCCAAATTCTCTGTCACACCTTCTATCAAGAAGAGTCTCGGTTGTCTGTCCTGGAGTCTGAGTTCTTAGACTTCTTGAACAACTGTGGACAAGATACTGAGCTGTTTCCAAGTCTGGGCCTTAGGAAGCCCAGTCTTCCACTTCTTGTATTATTGGAACCCACTTGGAATGCTGTGAAGAAACCCCGCAGCCACAGGGAAAGACCATGTGTGAGAATTCCAACTGACAGCCCCAGCTGATATCTTGTCAGTTGGCACCAAATACCCACCATGTGAGTGAACCATTTACAAGTGGGTCCTCCAGCAGAACCCCCCAGTAGAGGCATCATGGAACAGACATCAGTCTTTCCTGCTGATATCTCCACAAAATTACAGATTCATGAGTTAAATGAATGATTGCTGCTGTATAAAGTCATCAGGTTTTGCAATGGTTTGTTATGTAGCAGTACAACCAGGACAGGTGTAGAGCTGATAGATTTTTTCTGGACTGGAAGAAACTCTGATTTTAGAAAGAATCTAAGGCACCAAGCAGGCCCTGGTGGAAGAAGCTCTGGAGGTATTCCATGTAGAAGAAGATGAGGACTTTCTATAATCAGAAGCATGGAGATGCACAACTACTCTTACCAGAACCCAGCTTCTCACCATAGTCAGTTGCGGCATTTACTCCTCAGAGTCCTTTTATGTAAAGCTCGCTTCCTGGACTGTGGAATGGACCAATCAGGTGCTAAGGGCTTATTGGTAAATGGTCCAATCAGCCTCAGGATTGAAAAAATGGTCCAATCACACTTGTGAATGAGGCACCCTGATAGAGGATATAAGCCAAGGTCAGAGGGAGCTGGAGAGACCACGCCAGCCCCTGAAGAAGAGAAGACAGTTCCAGTTGTGACACTGTGAAGACCCAGGGTGAACTGGCACATCCAGACGACCTCTAGTGCAGCGTCATCCATAAGATAGTTCACGAAGGAAATATTCTACAGTGACATAATTTCTATGGTCACAAATGATACTAACATGTAAAAACCCCTTTCCAAATATATTTTGCCACCCACACATGCTTACAATTCTGTGGAAGCCTATCTCCCTACCGCAGCAGTTGTGTTCTGTGAGATCCACTTTGAAAAGTTCTGCTCTAATTCCTCTAAACGGGAGGAAGGTTTGAGAACTCATCTCATTAGTGTGGAGAGGTTCTAACTGCCCAAAAGGCTGTATGTAGGTTGCTTTAAAAAATTCTCCTCCTGGCCTACCTGCTGCCTTGGGAGAATCAGATTCAGAAACACCAGGAACAGCAGGCAGAAGGGCTCAGGGGAAAAGAGGATTTATGTTTTCCAAGAACCAAATCAACACCAGCAACACTTTGACTTCGGAACTTCCACACGTTTCATGAAAGCTTGTCAGGCACAATCTGTTTACCGCCTAGAATGTCCCAGGCTAAACAATCCCTATAAATACATGTGCTTCATCTGTTTTCCTTTGTTGGGTCAGATGGGCTTTCCAAGTTCTCCTATAGAGCAGACCTCTGCTAATTCTCATAGGTTCTGAGAACACAAAACCAGACTGGTTACCTCAGTGAAGGTCAGTCTTAGTGGACACAACTTGCGGGCAGTCACATGTGGTTTCTAGTCATCCAATAATTCATCCCTGAGCAAAGAGCATAAAGCAGAAAACAAGACAGATGAGGGCCTGATCTGAGTGGGGCTCACAGTCTTGGGATGGAGATAAGAAAAATCAAAGGAAGACACAAATACCTGCAGTCCTTACAGATTGGGGAAACTGAGGAAACCATCAAGGTGCCAGCATGGAGCAAATGAAGCAAATGGGATCCAGCTTAGACACAGTGGGGAGAGAAGATGAATCTGAGGAGGTGATAGTTGAATATGAAAAGGAGAAAGAACATGCTGGATAGCATATAGCTTTTGCAGCATCCAGAGATGTGTTGGGTCAACTGTACAAATCTTACGAGTTCCTACTGATGACTACTTGGATTAATGCCCATGATGGGGAACTAACAACAATTTTTGAGGACTTTGTTTCTAGTTCCATTGTACTATCAGAGGTTGGATTTCCCAGAATAGACCCTGACACAAAGATTCATGTCATGGTGGTTTATAAAAAAAAGTGTTTATGGAAAAACACAACAGGAGTTAGAGTAGGGTCAAGAAAGAGAAAGAAGTTAAGCCAAGATGCACTATCAAGCCAAGTTCAGAGAGGATCTTGGGTCAATTCCACAGGGGACTTAGAAGACAGTGTAAGGCACACTTGAGTATAGTCCCAGTCAGAGGACAAGGGAGCTAAAATATTTATCCTTCCTGCATCCTGCGGCAGTGATCAGAAGCCGCATCTCAGGTGACATAAATTCCAAGGGTCTTCTGGTCTTTGCAGGACAAGACAAGGCAGTTTCCTGCAGCTTGAAGCCACTTTGCTGACAAAGAGACACAGGAGCTGGCTGAGATGATCTCTGTCTTCAATGTATCATGGACATCTTCTGCTACACAGGTATTTATCTATTTTTGTTTCAACTGAGCCTTCCAGTGTTGATCACATTACTGTTAGCTTAGAGGCATTTGATAACTGGTTGAACCTCTGGGAACCATGTTTCTTACCTCATCAATACTGACTGGGCATTCTAATATTGCACCAAGCATTCTTAGCCTGGGCTAAAAAATGGTCATCCTTGTAGGAGTTATAAACAGACCCCCAATGCAATCCAATGTCTACTGCAACAGAAGATTGTTTAGCAGGGAGTCCACTTTCCAAAAGAATCCAAATGATATAATGAGTCCATATAGAATTTTTTTAATCATCCATTTTAAAAAATCATGCTACCAGTATCACTGGGGAACAATTTTCCACAGTGCATGGCATGTGTGATGAGTGGTGAGTACATGCCAGCCACTGATGGGAGCAGGCAAGCTATCCACAAGGATAGAGAAACATGATTGTGGGGGCAGCATGCAGGGGGCAACACACTGATCATACTTCTCAGTGAATTTTTCAGCATTGATCTATTTTTCTATTTTGGCAACTTCACTGTCTACCATTAAGCTATTTGGGAGCTAAGATAACTAACCTCCAGAAATATTGTTCATCTAGAAGTAAAATCAGGTACATTGTCTTTGATGAAGTTATTCCTGATGTGGATCTCCATCCAAATATGATTTCACCCCAACTAAATAGGGGGCAAATTCTTTTCTATAACTAAGTATTCTAGAATTCCCAAGTGTACAGGCCTTGTATGGGGGTGGAGGGGGAAAAATTAGGAGCACAGAATAAATATGAAACAACACAATCCCCTGTGTCCAGCACCAAGGGAGTCAGAAAACAGCATGAACCCTACCCTATCAAACTTAGTGTACTGTGTTTGCATGAAACAGAAGACATTGGGAAAACATGGCAGGGGTATTTTGTCCTCTTCCACATGGAAGAGACAAGGGGAAACATCTTGACATGAGTGAGAGTTGGCCAAGGGAGACAAGTGGGACCCGTGTTTCAGGCAGAGGGAACAGCAAATCAAAGTTTGCGTGTTAAGAGACCGAGACCATGAGAGTATGGCAGGATAGTTTGAGGAGCTATAGGAGGCACCCATGGCTGGAGAAAAGAATGCTCGTGGGAGAAGGAGGTGGCAGGTGGTCACACCAGAAGTAGGCAGAGGCTGGGTAGAACATAGATATTATGTTGACGGTAATAACTGGCTGTTGAAGGGTTAATTTTAGATGAATATTTTGGGAGGATGCCTCCTTATCTTTATATGTAAGGAAAAAAAATGACTTGATCTTCTTAAAGATAAAAACAGATTTTAAAAATGTGTCATGTAATGTGCTGTAACTGACATTGACCCTTAGGGGCATTTTTCTGGGAAGGATTAAGAAGCAACGCTTGTGTGCCTATTAGTTCCCCTGAGGGAGAGGCACAGGAAGAATCATCAGGAAATTAAGGAATTAGGTGATCCGATTCCTGAAAAACAGAGGTTAAATGCCAAATGCTTCTCTGAGGACTTACCCTCTGATATCAGGTGGCTTCTTGGACAAGCCTGGATGGAGTCTGAATGTCAGTCCTATGACTCCTCACACAGAGTATACAGGTCAAACACACTACTGGTTACTAATGCCCATTCATTCCTATGATCAAGGCACAAACTTTGGAAAAGAAACCTTACAACTTTGCATGTTAAAAATAACATGAGGGTACATTCATTTACTTAAACGTATTTATCAAGCCCCTACTGTTAGTGGCTGGCACTGTTCTGGGTACTTGAAATACATCAGGGAGCAAGACAGATTAAATCCCTGCCTTTGATTTGCGTTTGTATTCATGAAGTCGATATTTTTTCCTTCCCTGAATCCAGGATGAGAGCCAGAGTGGATGACACACAGCTACAGCCACCCTTTCATATATTTGTCTTTGAGATATTATTGTCTTGGATGAAATGAGTGTTCGAGGCTGTTAAACTCTGCAGGATCTCTAAAAATATGAGCAAAGTGGATTTTATTCTCAGCATCATTTTTATTCTTCTTATTGGTTTCTAAACTCACACTTCATACTCATCATGAAGTGTGAACGAATCCAGCCACAGCATTTGAAAAGGAGTTAACAATATCCAAGCAGAGTCTAACAAGGGGTAGCCCCCAGGAACAGGCCCCAGCCCCCGGGCACATTGGTCCTGGGTTGCTGGCAGAAGCGAACTCAGTCTCGTGTCTCCACCTGGTCGGTCTGTCACTCGGTCTTACCTGTTGAGTGATGTGGAGGTGGTGGGATATTACTTCTCAGCCAGATTTAAGATGCTTCAGAGAAGGTGCCTTTCCAAGTGCTGCTTGTCTGCCTTCCAATTGCTGAATAGAGGTCTAGAATTTTCTCCTCTGAATTTAGAAAATAAGGAAAAGAAAAAGAACCAACATGGATATCAATGATAACAATAATAACAGCAGCAGCCCCTTACAGATTGCAATGGTTGTCTTGTCTACATTGCTCTGATTCATGCCTCAATCCTGTGCAGTAAGCTCAGCAGAGATTGTTTAAGAATCATTCCCCAGGGTGGGTGGAAAGATGGTGGTGGTATGGATTTGATACAAGTTTATAGGATTAAAGCCAGGTTTTCAGACAAGATATTGAGTTAGGTCTCATGATTGGTCTTGGTCTTTTTTATGAAGTTATACACATTCATTGTGGAATGTATAGTTAGCAAAAGGAAAATGAAATAGCCCAACAATCTGAAGGACCATAACTAAAGATAACCGAGTATTTGATGAATAGCCTTTGAGATTCTTCCCCGAAAGTAGTTATAAATATGAGCAATGTGTATTTAAAGGGAATGCATGATATTTATTCATTTGCAACTCAGCTTTTCATTTGCACTATATTATTGACATTTTTTGACAAGAAAACATGAATCTACACAACCTTTATCTGGTACATTATTATATCAATGACCAGTAATTTATTGGACATTTATATTTCCTTTTTTCCTGTTATATGTGATATTGCAACACATATTTATGTACTTTAATTATTATGTTTGCACAATTATCTATTTACTTAAAGTAATGTCTTTGAAGTTAAATTTCTATGTCAAAGAGTGTGGTGGTGTGGTTGCTTAGGTGTGTGGCATCTTGTTGCATATACAGAATCGAGCATCAAATTTAAGACAAACATTGCTAAATGCATATACCACTGGCTATATGAACTTGCCCATCTCTCCATATGCTGGACTAAACAATATTATTTTTAAGTATAGATGTATATTTCATTGGCTTCCCTTTTTCCTTCTTTCCTGAATCATTCATTCCAAAAGCTATTTGACAGACCTGAATGAGGACAAGTGGCCCAGAGGTATTAGAACCAACGTGAGAAAAACAGCCAAGTGGGATATTAACCTAGTAAGATTGCAAGATCAATTAGATATGGAAGGAGGGAACAAATAAGTAGATATTTAAGGATAATGAGATCCAGTCTTCTCACTATTATAGAAGGGAGTCACAAAAATAGAAAGAAAAAAAAAGAGAACGCTGGAATGAACCATGTGGTGTTGAATTAGAGGCTGGGAGGGTCTGGAGGCAATAACACCCAAGTAACAATTAGCACACACCTAGCCTCCAGTTCTTGGTTTTTCACTAACAGTCTCCATTAAGTGGAACCACGGACCCTCAGAGAAGTGGTCAATTCCAGTACGAGAAAGGAGAAGTAACAAGAAAAGCTTGGAATAGCTTATACAAGAAAATGTTCCAAAGTTCGAATAATAATTGGGACACATTCAAAGGACACAGGATCCAGCCCTAAGGGGGTCCCATCAGCCACATCTGGAGCAATTTGTCTATCACAGTAAGCTAAGATAATAATGGGCCAGGTGGAAAATGTTAAGACTCCATACCCCTATGTTGGTAAAAATACATAATTGAATAAATAAATGGGGAAAATAGACACTTTTTCTTTTCCATAAAATGCAACTTGTGATCATGAAAGAAATGATGTTATTAGAAAATCACCATTTGGCAGCTGTTATAGAAAAAAATGGATTCATGCAAGGATTCTTGATGGGTATTAATAAAAGAGAAGGTGAAATTGAACGAGAAGAGAATATTTACACAGTCTCAGCGTATCGTCCTATAAAAATAGCTATTAATCACAATGGGGAGTGGTAACTACTGGAGAAATCTGGCACCTTGATGGAGTGTTCAACACGAACACCAGCCATGGTTAAAAGCAGCATCGTGCATCGCTTGATGAGATGCAGCGAGAAGATCACGGTGTCACTTGTGTGAAATTCTTGTCCAAAATGCATTATTTGAATCTAATCATCAGGACACATCAGACAAACTCAGATTGAAGGACATTCTATAAAAGAAATGTTCAAAAGGTGTTTTTTTAATGTCCCCATGCAAACACGGGTCCAGGAATCATAAGAAAACATGAAATATTGCAAGTGCATTTTCCACTGTCACATCTTTACAATGGACCCTGAACTCGGCCAGCTAATAAGTCTTACTACTACTGAGATAATTGCTGAGATAATCAAAACAGAATATCACATTCACAGGAAAAAACAAATGTCAAGGTCCTGAATGTCAACGCCAACCTGAGGAACCATTCCACCTTGACAGACACTGAAGAGCCATAACTATGAAAGACACCTGGATTCTGAGCTGGATTCTTTTGCTACTGACCTTTTGCAGTATTGGGACATTTGGCCAAATGTGGGTGATACTTAGGAGGCGACAATGTGAGATTTTTTTATACTGTCCTTGCTAGTTGTCTGGATCTTTGAAATTATTTCAAATTTTAAAATGGAATCATAAATAAATAATTTATTATGATTATATTATGATTCCCTTGAGAAAATATTGCGGTCTGACTTGACTTCGCCTTCAGAGGAGACATGACTTTGTCTTCCTACTGTATTAGTCCCAGCCAAAATCTTGCTGCTTCTCTGAAATTCTCTTTCAATATATTGTCCTTTTAGTATTTCCTCTGCCTTAGATAGTCACTTGCAAAGTGCCCACAAA